TGAAAATATACGCTTTTTAAAGTAATACACCCTAGTATTTACAGTATGATATTACAAATGATAACTTTGTTTGCAGTAAGTGTATTTGACAACGATATAATATACATATTTATAATGATAGTTTGTCACACCTAGCTGATTACAGCATGCAAATATTTGTATTAAATAAAATTAATGTTAATATGAGTTATCCGTCAATGACAATAAAATATTTCACCTTTCAATTTGCTTAATTTTTTTTATTTAAATTTATTATTATACAATTTCATCTTAAGGATTATATTTAACAAGGAAACTAATCAGTATTGTTATAATATGTTTAAAAAGAAAAAGTTAATTCAAAGTTAAGTATTCATTTGAACTGGGATAATATACTATGCAAAAAGAACCATGCACCCGAATAGACAAAGCGCCTCTGGAAGCGGCGTCCATGTGGGAATATGGTCACACGCTTTCCCCTCTGCCAGTACCGGTAGCTTCCTGCTCACCACGGTCTTTCCTGCCTGCTGAGCGCCGGCCGTATTTCGCAGCATGCAGCCCTCAACGACATTATCCGCTGATGGGCCTTAGCCACTGTTAACGTGCCCGTTATTCTCGAGCCAAGCGGCATGTCGCGAGCAGACGGCAAACGCCCGGATGGAATGAGTCTCATTCCTTTTAGTGTGGGCCGGGCACTGGTGTGGGACGCCACATGTGCCGACACACTTGCCCCATCCCATCTCCAGCACACCAGCAAGAGGGCTGGCTCCGCAGCTGAGCTGGCGGAAAGAATAAAAAGTAATATACATATATATTTACAGCCTTTGGAGTCGAAACTCTTGGCCCGTGGGGTCCCAGTGCCCTTCATCCGTACAAAATTTTGTCAGAAAATTAATAGATTATTTGGGAAACCCAAGGGCCAGCAGCTACTTTGTCCAACGCATTAGCATAGCAATACAAAGGGGAACGCTGCCAGCATCTTGAGCACCTTGCCGTGGGATCCCAATTTTATTAATATAATTTAAAAATCCTAGTTTCATTTTCTAGTATTTAAGCTTTTATTGTCATTTTTACATTATCAAAATAAAAATACGCGTCATTCAAATTTAAAACGTCAATCATTGGCACCATTACCCTAGTCGTACTTTGTACGCGCAATGCTGTTGGAATGCAGCTCGTGTGCCTACATTATTAGATAATGACATCTAATTACACCGTGTTTAATAGCAACTTTCACCCCCGTTGGATGAGTGACATCATCACCCGTTAGTCTCTGAAGCGCCTGTGACATATTTTATATGCGCTATGACATTCGTACCTTTGATACAATCATGGACCAAACAACTCAAGAGGAATACCAATCGCGATACAATGCATCGTAGTCGAGTATTTAGTACCTTTTGGTACACCAGATGTCGCGACGAGTACTAAATCGTTATTTTTATAACTAATTTGTTTCACATTGACAAGTTGCAAATTTTCACAGCTACTTTAATTTGTTTAGATGGTGGTTTTGTAAATAAGTTATGAAGATGACGTGGTGCTGCTGAGCCCTTCAATCGGTGGTCTAAAAGTATTGATAAATGTATGTGAAAGGTTTGCCGACGCCCATGGACTTAGATACAATGTTAAAAAGAGTGAACTATTGATGTTCAAATCAGGTACCAAAACCTATTCAGCGCCACTAGTTACTCTAAACGGCAATGAACTCGAGAAAGTGACTAAGTTCAAGTATCTGGGTCGCTGGGTCACGGAAAATTTAACAGAGGATGTTGACCTGGAAAGGGAACGCAGGGCGCTGGCGGTAAGGTAATAATATGCTGGCACGCAGGCTTGCACGGTGCTCATACGAGGTTAAAATCACCCATTTCAAAATATATTGTCAGACCTTATACATGTGCAAGCTGTGGAGCATTAGTTCATTACGTATTTATATGATATAATATTATAATTTTCATTAATATTTTGACTATTAACTAGAATAATGTTGATGATTTATTTAAAAAATATATTAAAAGCACTTAAAATGTTATATTTTGGACAGATACCTTTAAATAACGTAACTAAAGTATTTGAAATTGCGTATCCAACTTTATCATTACCTAGTTAATAATTAGGTATATTCACTACGTAATATTTATCGGCAATAAAAATTTTAAATTCGAGAACCATTGTCTAGCTCACGTAGTTATGGCGTCTTATTATATTGATACAATAAATCTGTATTATATATTACTCTGTACTAAAGAAAACAATATATGAATGAGTCTCAGACATAAGTTTTTTTACTTACTACGTTTCATCTTTCAAAAAACGAAAGAAACTCCTCTCTTTATCCCGTTTAGATGATTGATTTTATACACCCGTACACAGCACAATTCACGACCATTACAGATAGTAACGCAAACTGATATTGTATATTAACGTACAAATTTCGTAATGAATAAACGAAAACTATATTTAAATATCGAAGTCGTCTTAACGCGAAAACGACTCGCCGACAGCCTTGTTCTCCTTCAGTCAATATGACCGTCAATGTGCGGGGCGTGGTGCTGTATCTAAAGCTAGGGAGGGGCGGAGAATGTCCGTTCTCATTACTTATTTGTTCTCTGGTACAACGGTATCTATTTCTGCCGCCAAACAGTAATGTCAGCATTACTGCGTTCCGGTTTCGGAGGGTAAGGGTGCAATTAAAGGCACAATTGTGTCTCAAGGTGACAGTAACCCTCAAGTCTTTGCCATTTAAAGCAGAATGGCACTGTAACTATTATGGACAGGCGTGTGGCTTACCGCCAGCACGACTTGTTTGTCCCGTCACTAAAAAGATTTTTATGCCGGCTATTCTTTTATTTTGTGTAGGCTTAGTGCCTACTACCTATTTAGGAAGCGGTAATTTATAAATATGACAATGGACAAGGGTCGTTGACGTCGGTATGCGGATCGAGAACCTAAAATGGAGATGGGCAGGACACGTTGTTAGGCGGAACGACGACCGATGGACCAAGGTGGTCACTGAGTGGTACTCGGTAGGACCGAGACGTCCTCGAGGTAGACCACCTGCTAGATGGTCGGACGATATCGTGTAAGCAGGCCGAGATGAATGAATGAAATTTATAAATAAGTTTGTAACACACAATGCCATCTACTGACGTCAAAATTCAGAAAAAATTCGAATGGTCAAGCTCACTTTCGTCATCGAGTAGCAATTGGTCGGTGGTTAACCTTCCAGTGGTCGCGCGCGGTCTCAGGGACCGCAGTGGCCTTATTTTAATAATTTTACAAAAACTAAAAACCATAGATGGTTGCGCGACCATACTATCCTCAAGGAGATGAGATACTTCTCGTTGGTAGCCCTGGGACATTCGTCGCAAGCGCACATCTCAGATTCCGCGCGCGATTGGTCGTGTTCCAAAAAATTTATGGAATAAAATTGAAACCTGGGCGAGTATTACATGTTATTTGTACTATATTTTTTAATAAAGTTAATGTTAATTGTTACAATAATTCTATACAATTCAAATTTTGCTATTGGCACTCTACGTATCTCTGCGTATCCCGTTCTGATTAGCTTTTCTGTAACTCAGAGGTTGTCTGGAAGAGATCGCTATTAGCGATAAGTCCGCGTTTGCCCACATTAAATGCTGTCTATGTACTGTTTTTGTTTTTGTGTGTGTATATTACAAAATTATATTATTTTATGTAATATTATGTTCAAATATTTATTATTAGACTATTTGTTGTAGACAATGAGTTACGATGAATCAGAACGACTTGCAGAGGAGGCAGAAACAGAAGATGAAGATGAAGATTTTGATGATGTCAAACCATTGATACCGATAAGGAGTAGGTTATCGTAGTACAGTCACGTCAAGCTTGACACTTTGTACTTGGACCGTACTTATCGTAAGCGGCATAGAGTTGGATTTAAGTCTTAAGTGTCAAGCTTGATGTGCTCTTGACCCTGTACTTACTCTTAAAAATAATTAGAAGTTTTTTATTTTGTTTTCCTTTTTTATTATATTAGAATTAAGATTACCTAGAACATCATGAAACAAAACATTTAAAAATAATTGTGATTTTAGAGTTCCTACCATATTGTGCAATTATTATTGATGATAATTTTGATTGATCTTAGTAATAATTATGATGTGCCTATTAACGATTCAGATAGAAAATTTTGTGTCATATGACTAAAATTTTGAATTTTTGTAGGCTGTTAGATTAATAAGTACAAATAATAAAAAAAAAAGTAAATAATGTTTTTTATTTTCATTTATATAGATAAAAGACTTATTTTTATCATGTGCTACACAACGTCATGATAATATTCATTTGTTTTCTCAAACTGAACGCGCAAAGTTGCGGTCTCACAGACCGCGCGCGACGATGCGATGTTCGGCGCAAGGGTGCGACCACTGGAAGGTTAAATCCCCTAGCAACACAAAATAAATACAATTTTAGATTTCTTTTAATTACAATTGTTATATATTTTACATTAGTGCAACACAGACAGCCTCTATTAATTGCTCCGTAGCGGGGTTACTAAACCGCTTGCCGGTCTGATGCTGCAAGCGACTAGGTGATGCCTGAAAATCCGTAATGCTGAGTCTTCATCCTTTTTATCCACATTACTGTTCATCTGTTTTAATTATTCGTTTATGTGTTTTGTGGATAAATAAATGTCTTTTGATTTTTATTTATTTAATTTTTATTTTCCAAACTTCAACTCGTCCTATCGGACCTAATAAAAGTAAGGCGGGAAAATACAGTATGTTTTTGGCGCGTCTGATGCATGGGGTTGCCATTAGTTTTACTTACATTTTATACTTTTTTTTAGTTACCAAGCGACGAGGTATCCCGCGACAGGAGCGACACGCCTGTCCAAAGCAGTTGCAGTGCCACTCACAGAGCTTCAATCGCAAAGATCTCGCTTACCACCAGTCACAGGACTTGTTCATCCCGTCACTTAGTAGGTATCATAAAAAACCAAACAAAATCAACTTTATTCGTTATTAATTATCAATCACTAACTAAGAATACACCAATTAACATAATTAAGTCACAACTCAGTTATATTAATCATCGAAATGTACGTACTTAACATAACCACAAATCATCGCACCTTACGAAAAATGACGAGCAAATTGTAAGGTCGACGCTGACGCCGCATTATAATAGAAGTGGGCAGTGGGGAAAAGGATAAGGATCATAACCGTACATAGATTATTTTTATTCACAATTTACTCTTCCCGCTCTTAGCCACAGCCCGCAAAGTTTTTCTCAATATTTTGCCGCTCGGATTCTTGGGAATTTGATCCACGAAGCGCACCCCGCCACGGAGGTGTTTTGGATTTGATAACTGGAAAATAATATAAGTCAATTAATTATCATTAAGTACTAAACTAAGTAAACAAACCAATGACATGTGTCAGCCGTTACCTGGGACATCTACTCTGGGACCACTACTCTCGTTCTCTGTCCGAAACAATTACAGTCATATAAGTAATAGTTGATCAAATTTAAACGCGTATGATGCGGATGAAGCTTCATACTGGACATTGTCTTTTTAAATGACTTTAAAAAAAAGAGGAGGTTCTCAATTCGACTTTTTTTTGTATGTATGTTACGCGATAACTCCGCCATTTGTGAACGGATTTTGATGATTCTTTTTTGTTGGAAAGAGAGTAGCTATTGGTCCCATTTAAGTTTGAAGAAAATCATCCACCTCTAAGGGTGGCTGTTCACGCATGAAGATTCATTTTTATAAATAGCGCCTAAATTTTATTATAAGGAGCAATTATTTTAATAGTTGATTTTGCTATTCTCCAATTCAAGGCGTTTTTCTCTCTCAATATACTTTGAGTAGTGAGAACTGATTTTTATTATCTCCTGTGTCAAATCCCGTATAGTGTCGAACTAGGGGATGAATCCGCGTTTGCGCACTTTCCGGTAACCGATTTCAATAAAACTTGGCACATATATGTAATTCCACGTACTTTTGAGGTCGTTTTTTTTTGTACTCTGTACTGAGATTATGCTTAATCGAGTATTATTTATTTGATAGGAATTTAGGAATTGTTTCGGTCGAATGCCTGAGAACAGGAGTTGCTCCCCTGATTCGATCTCCCATTGAAACTCCGATCATAGCACTTTCCATTAATAGTATCATATGAGAACATAATTTATTAGATGACTTTTTAAACCTGTGTCAGTATAGTCCAAACAACTTTTACTATGTAATTCGAAATTGTGAGAAAATAACAGCTGTTCGATATCTTTGACATATACGTACTTATTATAATGATATATGCCAATAAATCTCGAGCACACTGAATACACACTGAAAAAAAAAACTCTTATCAATTGGATAAGAAATCTATTAATCAGAGCCTACGAAGTACAATGATTTTAGCAATAATTTTATTGTGATTGATTTTATTAACTACTGTGAATGATTCCGTTAATCTTCATTAGATAAAAGGCTGTGTTTTTCAGTTTACTCTTTTGTTTTATTGTTACTTCAATTACATTAAGTTTGTATAGGTACCTACTTATTGGTTTTAATTTTCTACTTTGTTAAAGCATAGAATTAAACAATATTAAATAGATTAGGGAAGAAATAAATCTTTTGAATGCAATAAAAAACAAAAGGGGAAAATGTTTAGACATTTGTTACGTAATGTGACATTTATAATAATTGAGGGGAAAATAGAAGGAAAACGAAAGAGATCGACAAGAGCCTGGGTTCATAAGTAGGATGTTAATGATGAAGTAATACCTTTGATAAACCGTATCCATAGCACGTTAAATAATCATACTAACCCTCTCAGCAACGAACTTCTTGACATCATCTTCAGTTACGTCAGTATCAGTTTGTTTAACCACAAAGGCGAGTGGTACCTCACCCGCTTCCTTATTCTCTATGCCGATGACTCCTACGTCTTTTACACCTGGGTGCTGGAGGAGCAGTGCTTCTATTTCTGCTGGAGCTACCTGAAAATGTATGAGGTTAGTGATATTCTATACACAGACTGGATGCAGATCATGCGTAGTTGCTACAGCTCCAGTAGAACCGTGGGTTATTTGAGAAGTCTTCTCGTTGTTTTTTTTATTATACTAAATGACGGGGCGAACAAGGTGGTAAGCGACATGCCTGTCCATAACAGTTGCTGTGCCACTCAGAGTTTTAAATCGCAACGATATGAGGGGTACGCCACTGCGGGTGATCCTTGAGACATAAGTTATATGATATTATATAGGGTCCACTGAAAATCAGTGTCACAGCCTTGTCCCGGCGGTGACATTAGCTGAGTGGATCCTATTACATGTATGCCACAGCCACACACATGACATCTACTTAGTACAGCAATAGTGTTGACCAGCTTTGTGGTCGCATAATTATTTATTGCTAAGATTTTATTTTTAATTAATTTTATTTAATTTTCTTTTTTGTTATTCATTTTCTGTTTGTTTTAATTTAGCTTGTTTTAGTTTTAATTTAGTTCTGTTTTATTTTTATTTATTTTTTTTACTTTTAATTTTTTACTGTTTATTATTGTGTTGTGGTGTTATGTAATAAATATATTCTATTCTATTCTAAGTTAACAAATATCATATGCTTGTAATTTCACCCTCACTTTTCAAAACCGGAAAGCAGTAATAAAAGTATTCGCTTGACGTGAATGAAGCTTCATTCTTGACACTGTATTTTGATTTGCTCGATTACTTATTTGACAGTAATGGTTTCAACGGTTTCAAAGGTTTTACAAATAGCATGTGTCGACGCGCAAAAGACGCTATATTTTCGTTTAGGTCAACAGAGAAATTACCTGATACGCCTTGTATTTTATTAACTCCTTTAAGCGATCAACTATAAAGAAATATTTATCATCATCATAATATCCGATGTCACCAGTTTTGAAGAACCCCTCACTGTCAAAGTCGTCTTTTGAATCCTTGCCGATATATCCTTTCATAACCAATGGACCTCGGATACAGAGTTCACCTCTCTGGTTTGGACCTAGAGTTTTTCTTGTTTCTATATCGACTATCTGAAATAAGAATTCATTTTTAAACTAATATGTTATATTACACGCGTAAACTCAACTACATAGGTAAGTAAGTTATCATCATCAACCGGTTGTAAATTGGTTGTTTTACACATTATGTACTTTGGTATTTACGCGCTTTCTTCCCTGATACATCGAGTCGTTCTTAAACGTAACACAGCTTTATATACTATTGCTTTTTAGTACAAATCCGTCACTCAGTAAAGTATAAGTAACATCATCTTCATAACTCATATATACATCCCAGCACTGCTGGGCGGGCCATAGTCCGTCACGCTGGCCCAATGTGGGTTGGAGAGTTCACACATTTTCCGAGGGTTGTGAACCTCTTCTTAATATTATTTTTAATACATATTGCTTCAACATTTTTAGTTTATGTATCAGTGATGACTAGTAATGAGTTTCCTTGACTTTCTTTCCTAGAGCGGAAAAGTATTTTCCGTATAAATTTCTGTAAACGCAATTTAAAGTTTACCAACAAGGAGTTTTTTAACCGTGATGATAGGTGTAAACTATCCAGTGCGTGGAATCCGGCCCTTATCAGTAATAATAAAAACAAAATAGTTTTCACTTCATTTTCGCGGGTGGATTGAAGTGCTGTTTGTCGGAAAATATGAGTGACAGTGGTAACGCCTCGTGTAATCGAAATGAAGGCAGTCGTCGACAGCGAACGAGGGTAGACAGATATTACGTCTGCCACTAGTCAGTCAACCCGTGACCATGGAGCGTGTTTTCTTCCAGATTGTATCCCTCGACCCACAAATTTTTATAGTATCCTTTCTCCCCTAAAACCTCCTCTACTATTTACTCTATTTAAATATATTGAACAAAATAACATACGGCTATAACTTTTACTATGTGCACAGCATGTGTTTACGCTTTTCATCCAAAGTAGCTAGTCAAATAACCCCGTGTTTTGTCTTTGTCCATAGGATGGTGCAACCGATCGTCGTCGTTTGAGTGAATCTTGATAAATATACCGTGTATCTTTCAACCCGGACACTGGCAGATCTGTCCTCAGTGGGACAGAAGCCAAATACCCAAAAAAAAAAAATGGAGCGTGTAACGCAATATCCGGAAAATAAAAAAAAACTCACACTGTGTTTAGAAACGTGTAATTAACGATAGTCATTTAAAGAGTGTGTGTTCATATTTATTCGCAATAAGTAAAGGAAAAGATTGTGATAAAACCTGCGTATTCAAGGTTAATAGCCCTCGGAAAACTTGTGAAGTTCCCAATTTACATTAGGTAAACACGACGGATCATGGTCCAAACCCCCTCCTAAGAGTAAACGAGAATACAAATATCAATAAATATTAAATAACTATTAGACAACACCACGTACGTTGCTCTTATCCCAAAGTAAGTAGCTAAAGCACTCGTGTTTTGGAAATCAGAAACAACTACGGTACCAGAAACACCCAGATCCTCAATCATTACACACAATATAGAAAAGTTAGTTTTCTACACTGACCCGGCCGGGGATCGAACCCGGGAACTCAGAGGTGGCGACACCATAAATGTTTAAAGAAACTCTTGCTGCCTAAAACTGGAGTGCTCTCCTGCCATTCGGGGTTCAATTAATAGTATGATAATACCTTAATGATGGTTCCACCGCAAATGAACCCCACACCTCCGGGCTTAGCTAAGTGAGCCGTCGCTAATGTGTCCCTTGTTACGCCTAGAGTAACCTCTGTCATACCGTAGCCTTGAAGCACTTGAGCGTTAGGCAACCTTAACACAATACATTGATTATTCCATTAATCCCTTAAAGACGTCATTCCGGGTATTCTGGAATTATTTTCCTAAAATCCCCATATCAATCACCATAAAGTATTATCAACGAGATCGGCCTGGGGATATTTGGGAAATAATACCTGTACCATAATAAATAACAATTTGGGGACAGCGGGGCTGAACTTTCCGATTTTCAAATAACTTGCAGTTTTATACTGAAAATGAAGGGTTTGATTTTCAACATGTGGAAATGTTGAACAAATGTTATCGCTTTTTGTAATAGTATAGTCACTTCTACTAATATCTCAATAGTCTTTTTCGTAGAGGCTAATTTTTGACAAATTTCGGAGCGGAACATTCAGCCCCGCTTTGGGGCGCGTTGTTCCGCAAATAATACCAATACAGTCTTACAATGCGAATTTTAACCACAAAACAAAAAGCTGACATCATGTAACTTACTTGGTTTTCAGAACTTCTAAAGTATCCTTATGCAAGGGTGCAGCGCCAGAATTGATCAATCGTACGGTGCTAATATCGTACTTAATGTCCACTTTACATAAAGCTACTAGTATTGGTGGTACCACTGTTAATTGGGCTACCTAGAACAAACGAAAGAGTATATTATTTAAAACATCGTAGTTGCGCAGTTTACAGCAAGTAGCAATAGAGCTCCGTGTGAAAGAGATTTTCCAGGGAACTGCCACTTTAGCTATTTCTCCCAGGCCTACCCTTACCCTTCAAAATCGTAATGCAGTAACACTCACACTATTGATTAGGTAAGGGACAGTAATTCCCTGGACAAATTCTTTCACGTGGTCAAACGCGTACTACTACTACTAAACGCACTCATAGCAGAATAAAAGTATTTGGGTCTCGACGAGTAGTCGGCTTACAGATGTTGACTTTTTGGGGTACATTGATTTGTGTCGGGATCTTTAAAATTTTAATTATTTATATTATATTACACTTTGTACAGGTACCTTGTACTTCTCAATGCACATTAAGTACATCTGCATGTCAAACTTGGACAGGTACACTGCAGTACGTCCTGTCGTGAAGGCGCAGAAGTTTCCAAACAGACCAAATGCGTGGTGCCATGGGTTTACTGTTAAGGTAATCACGCTGGGGTCTTGAGCGACTGGTCTGGGAAGAAATTTGCATCGTTGTAGCATGGGCTATCAATTCATACAAATAAACATTAATATATGGATGGCGGCACTTGTACAAAATAAAAATATGAAGCATTGAATCTCAAAAATTTAAACTTCGTCATACTAAATAAGAAGTATAAAATATAAAAAAGAAATGCAAAACTATTTTTCAACATTTCAGGAATGTTCATTTAAAATTCATTTAAAAATTACGTAAATTATTATTGGTAAAAACTGTTGTTGAAAGGATAACAAATGGAAGGTTTATCAGTGCGTTTATATTTGTTAGTTTGCAATAAATTGTACAGATACCATTTTTTTTAAATTTATTCTCGAAATTAGTTACCGTTTTAGCATTGATTTTCACTTTAAATATTAAAATTACAGACTTAGATTCTTTGTGATTTTGTCATTTATGTTGTTATTTATAATAATCAACAAATGGCAGAAATTACATTTACAAAAATGTAATTGCGTCCATCTGTTGGCGTTTTCGAATATTACTACAAACGCATCGCGGGTTTACTTGGTACCATCTGTTGATCAGCGTTAAGAATCAAAATAAACGTCCGAATAAACAGAGTTAGGAGTGCGACATTTCCTTGTATGAGATTGATCGTAGTGGTGGTTGGTGTTGTCTAGGCAAGCCTTAAGGGTGGTTGATTTTGGAACCATTTTCAATAGGTAAGCAGATTATCTGATCATATTTTCCTTCATCTTCAAAGTGAACGATGATAAGTAAATCAAATAGTAAATAATTTGCAAAATAAGTTAGTGTTGCAGGCGTCTTGAGAGAAACTCCAATCCCGGACTCTCGTATAAATCTACTGGTATTATTTAGACTCAAGTTTCCCAAGTGGGAGCTAATGCGATAATCCGTGGTAAGTAAAAAATATTTGCGAGAACAAATATCAAAAATAATAGATATAAAAGAAGAGAGAAAGACATGACGATGCTGATGTTGAATTAATTAGTTAAAAACTGTGGCGCCCAAGAATAGCATCTAGTCTTTTCTTTATGTTCGTATGCCATAAAAAGTCTTGCATTGCAGCATATACTTGGACTACTACATAACCATAAAACAAATTTACGGTCTATGATTGAACGAGCTCGCCCAGAAGATGCCTATTCATTCGTACCTTAAAGATACTAACCATAGGGTTGTATGTGCTCAGAAACACCGTCGCAGACGGGGAATTGAATTTCCGGGCTGTACGTATAATAAAAGATAATGAAAAGACCTTAATATGCCTGAAGGGAATATCGATTCAGAAAGGATGATAAGATTAGCTTATATTTTTTACACTATTCACGACATATTAGGGAATACAAATTTATATATTGTAGAGGTTAGAAGAACAATGTTTTCATAAATGTACTTACAAACAACACGCGGTTAAAAGATTAAGATGACTCAATATCACCCCCTTAGGCATTCCCGTAGTACCAGAAGAATATAAAACAAATAACGGATCATCGCCTCTCACTTCGACTGGTCTAAAGTCTTCAAATTGAACGTTCTCTTTTAATATTCCGTTATTTGATAAAGCTATGTCGTTGTACATAATAACGTTTTGCGATTCTGGTTTTTCATCTCCGAATATAATGGTTTTCTTTAAAAATTGAAGATATTTCAGTGTTTTTTTGTAGTTCTTGTATGCAATTGGTGAACAGAAGATGTAAGAAGGCTTTGTTATGTTCAAAACGTGTTTTAATTCCCCTGTAACAAAAACAAAACGTTGTTGATTCCTTTATAATTGTTATTGGTGTAATAAGGCCACATTTGCATTTACAGGCCACAAAATATGTCAACTTTTCAGGACAGATGTTTAATTCTTCTTAGTGTGCCGCTTCTCTAAGAAGGCTGGAGACCATGATGGCGACTATTCTCATTTCTGAAGCTGCCGCACGAAAGCGGGAGTGTGCTAAGGTGGAACTAGTCTCTGTGATTCTTCAACCACGTGGTTTTCCTTGGTGTGAAAGGTGTGAGTATGGAAATGACGGCTGATAGCGGAGAGCGGAAGAAAAATGCATGTGCCGAACCCACCTAGCGTGGGATAAGGACAGGAATAAGAAGATTTTCACTTTTTTCTTCCGTTTAAATGTGCCTGTGAGTCTAAAACTTATAGAAGGATGACGTATGATGATGAGACCGTACCTGGTGTATAACCAACGTTTACAGTAGAGATCACAGCTCCAGCACATACAGCCCCAATAACACTAGGAAAGAATTCTCTTCTGTTCTCCGAACAAATGGCGATTGCCTCTCTCTTTCTAACACCAATGCGATGGAGTGAAACAGCAACATTCATTGCATTTTGTGCAATCTCACCGTATTTAAGGGTCTCTCCGTTTGCGCCGTTTATCTGAAAGTTGTTTTATTATATATACGATCTTTTTATTAATAATTATAACAAACTAGTGGAGTAATTACAGAAAAGTAATTGAATATCATAGTGAAAAATCGTGACATTCTATAAAAACTTTAAAATTACAATTCATCTCTAGTCTGTTACTGGTAGCTGTAAAGGTCCCTAGTTAAGTAATAGATTTCTCACAAAAGCACTACGGCAAAAAAGTCGTTAAAAACCAACAAAGATCTGCAACAAGCTCAGAAAAATTCGTAAGTTGCGCTGGTTCGTTCCGTGGTTTAATTGATATAGCGTCTAGCACGGTTTGCTGGAATACTTTGGTTCGAATCCAGCCAGATCTAAGGCATTTTTTTCTTAGTGTTTGATCTTTGTATTAATAGTTATAACAAACTGACAGATAAAAACTTAAAAATGTTTAAACTTTTCAAAAATTGTTGCTATTTTACAGACGTGGCCTTATTAAACAAACGATAAATTTTTATCAGACCCTTTCATAATAGTGTAATAGTTAAATAGCTACAAAATGGAAACAGTGGAATTTGTACTCACGAAGCAGATTTTATCTCTATGTGCCCATAGCTTCTGTATTATAAATTCACCAAAGTTCAATCTTGCTGGCACAAAAATATCATTACTACCGTACACCCAATTTGGATTTTTCAACATTTTTGTTGTTTATTAATTGTTCAATAAAAAGTAACAATAAAAAAACAAGCGCTTCTGGTAGTGCGCAAAATAATACTGCTAAAAACATCGCGCTTACATAATAATAGATAATGTTACAGTATAAACAATATTTTACAATAGTGGAGCTACAGTGCAATGAGTAACATACAAACAGTACCCACAGCTTCCATAAAAATGTAAAAACATTTGAACAAAAGCTAATCGAGACATTAAACGCTAAACGCTAAAGGAGTAAAAAGAGACCTAACCCCTCCTCATCGAGTATATAACCAGAAATAAGCGTCATCCACACCTGGCAACTCACCAGGCAAATGGGGCTTATATCACTTTTAAATATCAATTCACGTTTGCACTGAAATCACAAATTAGAAAGCTGGAATAGTATAGCGGCTACAACTGACCTGTGTATACGTCTCCGTATATTCCAAAAATATTCTGTATTTATTGTAATAAAGATAATGTCTCTAACTATGCAAACAGCAAAATATCTTATTACAAAACAAACGGAATCACATTTCATCGGTAATTAAATATTAAATATGTAATTTTTCAGTTTTCGTCCAATAAAGCAGATCTCAAGTTAAACTGGTCGATTTGAAATGAAACAATTGAGCTGGCCAATCGGAGCACAGTTGTCACCGTAATAATTTGGCAGAATACTTTTTAAACAAGTTAAATAACATTTCGTCTCTATTTCTGGTTATATACTCAATGGCAAAAATATACTGTCAATCCAGCAGGCCAATTTTATTACTTTGTTATGGCGAGTTATGTTAGAGCACACGCTAGGAAATAGTCTCAAAAGGTGGCTGTTATCGAAATCCATAAGGGGGACTATATAATATACATGCTACGATCCTGACACACTTGTTTCGCCTATTCACTACGAGTTTGTTAGTAGTATTAATAGTAATAACTAACCATTTCTACTGTATTTATTGTTCTGTAGAAAAACTAAACCAAAATTGTAAATAAACAAAAAGTGCTAAATTGGACACAAAGCGTATATACAAGGTCGAATTTACATTGTACATAAAAAACAGTTTTTTTAATGTGTCTCGGGATCTACATTAAATGCTTATAATAATTTCAGTTTCCTGCCACCTTACCGCTTAAGTTGTTTACACTGCGTGTGATTACATGTTTACTTGAATATTGCATGACAACCAGTGCGTACGTGCACCAGGCCGCAAATCGTCAAAATTCTCCATTGTAATTTGAACCTAACGCCGTTTACGGAGAATTTAAATTTGCAATGTTTTACTACTTTAGCCGGGAATAAAAAAGTGTAATATTAATTGTAATTAATGTTTATTTTCTAATGATGCTCTTGCGCACGAGCTTCTTGTGTTTTACGGGCAACCTTCGGTCATTCGCTTCTTTATTGCGATTTTTTTTGTAAAAACCCTTTCTTCAAATTACTTTAAAAAATGAAAAGTATACAAAGAAAAAATGGTCCAGTTCTTAAATGCCATTAGTAGCTAAGAACAAGCAAGCTGTGGGTGGTCGTTGCCAGAACGGAAAAACAACCGTCGAGTTTGCTGACAGTACATAATAATAATAAAATCCTTTTTTTTATAATATCAAGGGACGGGACGAGCAAGTCGTGCGCCTGATGGTAAGCTAGACGCCTATTTTCAGCTACAGTGCCACTCAGAGCTTTAAATAGCAAATATCTGTCTGCAAAGTTGACGAGTCCCATTTGCCTGTAATTTCACCAGCACAGATACCCTTCAAAACTGGAATACAGTATTTATCTCAACACATTTAGTAACAGTAGAGCTCCTTGTGAAAGAGATCGTCCAGGGAAGTACTGCCACCTTACCTATTTCTGCCGCCAAGTAGGAATGTGAGCTTCATTCGCTTGTGATTTTAAAGGGTGAGGGTGCTGATGAAATTACAGGCACAAGGGACTAGTCAACTTATGTCTCAGGGTGATGGGCGCAGTGCCCCTCAGATCTTTGCGATTTAAGGCTCTGAGTGGTGATGCCTACCACCAGGTGCACGACTTGTAACATTAATAAATCAATATAAGTTTACACGGAGTTTAGTAACAGATAATAGTGGTAGGAGACAAAAAGTTCTGTAACTCAGCACAATGGAGTTTCTCATCGCCGCTGGTATTCCGTTACAGACCGCCATGATAAAAAAATAAGCACTAACACACATACATATAACTCCTATTCTAAGATATTCAGTGGATTACTAAATATTTAACAAATACATTATTAATACTATAATAAACATCAGAATACGAATTATCTAATACGGCCACACTTGGCATGATAATCGTAACGCTCTTAGTTATCAGTTGGCTATCAGTTTGCTCCCATTTTATATCTACCGCGCAGTCTGTTTGTTACTGTTGTGGATAAATATTAATTGTATGATAATAAAAAAATGGCAATAGGATTAATCTTATTTATTTGTATAATTTGTAGTGTTGCAGTAAATAGTATATTCGGCCTGGATCGTAGCTAAATGTTCGGCCAAACTATTCGGCCTGATTAAAGCGCAGGCCACACCGCGAGCGAAGCTATGCTAAGCTACCCGAGCATTGGGCGGACGTTGCCACTCCTTGGATGCCGCCGGCGCATGAAAAATAAAAAAGAATGGAAGCCGTCGGCGAGGCCGGTCGAGAAGGAGTTAGCAGGACGATCGCGATAAGTGTGAGAAGGAGTGGTATGAAATCACCAAAGACAGGGGAGGATTTTGGGGGAGACGTTTGCCCAGCAGTGGGATACAATAGGTTAATTGAAAACAAATTACATTCAGATATTATTATTTAACTTTTCATATTTGCTTCTGCTTTTGTACTTCTAGGTAGTGCCAAAGCTATAACTGGTCACCTTAAAAATCACTATTTATTTTCAAATTCGTTGCCTATGAAATAGTCTTAACTATTTTTTTAGACACTGCTCTATACCAACTGGGCTACAGGTCCAGTTGTCGAAATTCTCCATCTCTCTATGTGTTTTTGTTAGAGGTCTTTGTGCTAATTTCTTCTTGTTGATTGTTTTTCGTCATTCAGCGGCGCTGAATGCTGGAAAAATGTGTCATCGGGTCGAAAAAAATTTTCGTCGTTGAGTCCACCAGGATCCTCTAGCCCAATCCCCTAGGGGATAATAATCATAACAAAACTAGTGAAGTCATTTTACAAAAAAATGTAATAAAATATATTTTCTTGAATTTTATTTTTTTATATAATATAAATATAACACACCAACATACATCAGCAACTTTTATCCGGCATATACTCGTAATTTTATCCGAAGAGGGAAGCTGCCCGTCACTAATTTCCCTTGTTTATAGAGAAAACAGAAACACTAGGCTCTTTGATGTTGTTTAGTTTGTATTTTATATTTTGTATTAATAGCTGTAAACCTTCCTAAAATAAATAAATAAAATAAATAAACAACTCACACACACACACACACACACACACACACACACACACACACACACAC